CAGGTCTCCGGACGTGGAGGAGAGGCGTGGTTGTTAAGTTCATAACCCAGAGGGTCCACATATACTACCATTATGGAATCAGGTCCCAAAAGACCATCCTTATTATGGTTTTGGGGACCTAATTCCACAATGGTAGTATATAAATAAATATATATATATATATATATATAGATAGATATATATGGACCCTCTTGGTTAAGGTTAAGATCCTGTGGGCAGACCAGGCTTGATGAACTGCCGCTCCGAGGCTGACAGCCGGGCGTCCTTCGGCATCTCACTCCTCGGAGACAGGAGACAACCACAAGGGCCGGAACAGTTCGAAGACCCTTGGACCGAGGATTTGTGGAATTTGTTCGGCTGCAGCACGGTTTCTAGGGCTCCTTGGAATTTCATCAAGAGCTTTAGGCTTGCATTTGGCAGGATTACAATTCAGGCTTCCGGAAATAGGAAATGAAAGCGAAACCGTGAACCCGAAGGACGCCGCGAGCCATCCGCACGTCGAATTAATCTAAGACTTGTGAGGTATGGTCTTGGGGTTAAGGGTTTGGTGTTTGTAGAGTTTCGAAATGGTCCCCGGCAGTAGCCGTAAAGAGCATTGCTAGGAGTGCCCGTAGTTTCCATGGGGTACCCCGTAGGCCCTGAAACAGCAGTTCTGTTTCGGTGTTTTGCCCCAGGCACATCATCCCGAAGTCGAGGATGCAGAGCTCCCCCTGTGGCTGCTTAAATGGTCTCGGCTTCAGGGCGTAGGGTTTGGGGTCTGATAAATAAGGTGTATGGGTGCGGTGTATCGGACAGCACTTCAGGCTTTGAGGGTACAAGCTGTCAGGTTTGAGTGCTTAGAGCTTCACCCGTCGCAAGCTGTACGTAGGCATCAGATCGAACGCAATACCTAGCAACAGCCGACGTTTGCCATTGCATCATCCCGCATCGATACCCAAGCAAGCTGACACTCGGCTTGGAAACCACAAAGCACAGGGAAAACATACCTGGTTTCAACACCCGAAACTCGAGGAAGCCTCGAAGCCCGAAACCTATATACCCAAACCCCAAACCCTCATAAACCCTGCAAGCGACACCTGTATCTAGGATTATGACGATGTCCACAGAGGCCAGTCAAGGGCTTTCAAGGAACCACAAAGCCTGGCGTCGTAGTGCTGTAAAGCCAGAGCAACGCTGCTGCCGTGCTTCGTTGCAGCCGCGTTCCGGTTCCGGAGTTTAGGGTTTAGGGGCCCCAAACCTTTAAAAAGCATACTGCGCCAAACACCTCCCCCCAAAAGGATCCTACAGCAATTACCGTAATTACCGCCCTGACCCCAGGACCGGCCTGCTTCGTCACGAAGAAGTTCCCGGGATGTGGATCCGCGTGGAAGAAGCCATGCTCCAGTAGCTGCCGCATGGAGCACTCCTGAGGCTCCGGGAGGGGTCGGCCTCCTAAACCCGAAACCCCCAACTTCCAAAGCCCCTGCACCCGTTCTAAAAACTCAGAAAAGCCCTAAACCGGAAAGGAATGCATAAATCGACACGACCGTAAACCCAAAACCCAAACTTCCAGGTGCCTACTAGACAGGGCCCTGTGGCCCTAGGGGCTCCAGTACCCTCTATAGTAGGTACCTAAACCCTAAACTCTAAATCCAGGGGCTCTAGTACCCTCTATAGTAGGTACCTGGAGGGTTAGGGAAAAACGCATGCATTTTCATCTCAAGCCTGCCATGCTCCGGAGAATACCGGGCTCAGGTCTGGGGAGCCCTACACCAGGGGGGCCTTAATAATTAGAATAGGGCTCCTTTAAAGGGTTGATACAAGGGTTACTATACTACAAGTATAATAAGGAACACCAAAAATAGTATAGGTAATCATTTAGGCTTCTATAGTACACCATGGAACCTGAAGGAAAAGGACCCTGTTTAGGCAAAGATAAACCAGAGTTGTATGGTGTGGCAGGGTTTTGGGTTTAGGGTTCCTTCCATACTTCTAGCAGACCCTGCCCAAACGCCCAACCCCGCCGTAAACTTAAGACAGCCCCGACTGCGCGGCTGACACTGTGCCATCCTTGCTTGTCGGGAGCCCATCTTGAATCAAAACAACATCAGCTACCCTACACCTCAAGTTCCTCCGATATCGGCATCACGCCCGAACACACCTAGCAAAGTGGTCAGCCAAGTGACGATGCCAATGGTGATGAACGTCAGTGGATCGAGTCCTGAGCTTGATCCAGGGAGGCGAGGGTTATGGCTTTAGGTCCTCTAGTAGCTTACTTGGTTACTATGGCCACGTATACCAGATTCATGGAACCGTAACCCACTTTATAAACCAAGGCTATCTTTAGGAAGGCTGAAAATCCGTGCCGTGGCTGCAATTTCAACCGGTGATTGAACTGCAGATTCATTCCACGTCCTGGGGTTCTGGGTTTGTGCGATAACTCTTACTTGGGAAAAACACCTCAAGAGATCTTAAGTGCTCTACCAACACAGAACGTGCACACTGCAACCCCATCCTCAGTTCACTTCTACACGATATAGGGGCCTTCATAATTAGAATGGGGTTTTGGGGCCGTTTATACGATAGCTACTAGTATTTAATAAGGAGCCCCCAAAATAGTATAGGTAATTATTTAGGCCCCTACATTAAGCAGGACTAGTTGAGGCAATCGCGGTATGAAAGGGTGTGAGGGTAAATATCTTCTCCATGTTTCTGCAGGATGAATCGGAACACCCAAGCCTAAACCCTAAACCCCAAACCCCAAACCCTAAACCCTAAACTCTAAGCTTTCAGAGATACTGCAGGATATTGGGATTGAGTTTGGGAGCGGTGGAGATTCGGGAGTGCTGGCCAGACCTTCCCATATCCCTTAATCAAGGAAAATGCCTTACAGGTCATGTTAAGGATCCTACTATGATTTGAAGTATATTCCTTCATTCTTATAGTACCCTTATAGAAACCCTTATAGATCCCTGTAAGGATCCCTAAAGGTCTATTCCAAAAGAAGTGGGATGTTGGAAGGTCTGTTCTAGGGCGAGGCTTGATGTGAGCAAAAAGCCGTCAGGGGTTTCGGGTGTAGGGGTTTAGGGGTTTAGGGGCTTAGGGTTTCGGATGGTTCTGTGACTAGGATATTTAGGATGTTAGGCAGCTCAAGGTCTCCAATGTGGGGCTTCGTAGTGTTCAGAACTGATGACACCGGTGCCCCGCATGATGCCGAGCAGCCAAGACCCCGTATCGCTTCCACGTCTGTCAGCTTGACGCCATCGATCCACTCCATGACCTCAGTGATGGAGTAATGTATAGGGTTCTTTGCTAGTAAGAAAAGGCTTCTGAGGTCTACTACTCGTGACTGTAACCATGAGACAAAGGTTTTCATTCAGCAGAATTTTGTAGTAGGTTCAGGCTTTGAGGCTCTCGCCTTACGGGATTCGTGAGGTTTCGGGAGGGTCGAGGGCTTTTGGGGTGATGGGGTTGGGGCTTCGGAAAGTGAGGTTCATTTTAACTAGTACGGCTTTGAGACCCTCTTGAATTTGATACAAAGAACTCTGTCTTTGTTGAGGGTTTAGCGCTGATGAAATGCCTGTTTTTGAGTCGAGTGTGTAGGGAGCCCCCAGATTAGAGGAATTGATGCACACGCTCCTGTTGAAATTCCGGCGACTGCCCTATTCAGAAGCAGCTGTAAAGCTCACCCACCTTAACTTCCACAACCTATTTCAAATAGTTGAAGACTCTGACTTAAAACTCGGGTATGTAGCATAGTCGAGTTCACAACTTCCCTAAACCCTGAACCCTAGACCCTTATAGGGATCCTTTAGGTACGAAACAACAGGTGTGTAATGTAGGGGCCTTAATATTTAGAAAAGGGTTTTTGGGCCCAGTATACTATGCTTATAATAAGGACCACCCCCAAACAACAATGTAGGTCATTATTGAGGCCTTCTATTCGTAGTCGAAAGGAAAACTCGGGCAACTCTCGATCCGATCCTCACAACCTCCTGAACAAAAGGACCCGAAACTGCAGCCCATGAAGGCAGAACAGGCTTTGTTGCTGTAGAGCCTTAATAATTAGAATAGGGTTTTGGGGGCTCCTTATGGTATAATATACCCCATAATATACCCCAAACCCTATTCTAATTATTAAGGCCGCTATTGTACCTTGTTTCCTGACAACCATGGCGTCCAGGCACAAAGCTCTCCCCTAACCAAACAGGGAACTGCATCGAAGGATCAGCGAGAGACTGAATCTCTGAGATGCAGGGCGCTCTATCCCAAATCCAGAAACCAAACCTGGAGACTGAAGTGTAATCCTTTTTGGCATAATAAAGGGGTCTTAATAATTAGAACAGGGTTTTTGGGGGTTCGGGGTTCGTTATTATTATAATTATAGTATACCCCAAAACCCTTTTCTAATGATTAAGGCGCCTACATTAACCTGCTCTATGCTTTTAGGGAATCTCCGAATGCAGCCAAAACAAGGACGCTAGACTTCAGGATCTAGGTACACCCTCGGTGCTTCAGCCGCAACTACGACGACAGCTGGTGGCTCTCTAACCTGTTTTGTACACCCGGGGGGTCCGCGTGCCTGTATGGTATGTACAGAGGCAGTAACTACCCCTATGGGTTTTTTCCCCCTATATGCTTTGTGCATACCTGTGTACTCGGAACTTGGAGGTGTTCCTGTGTAGTAACTTAGAGTATGGGGAATCAAAGGTTGGCAGTGGTCTCAGCCTCGGGCGATAACTTGTCTCGTGGCCAGCTTGGGGTACATGCGAGGGACCTGTCACAAAGGCTTCAAATGACCCTGAACCCTAAACCCTAAAACCCTAAAGCCCGAAACCCCAAACCCAAAGCCCTGAAAGCCCTAAAACCCTAAACCCTGAAACCCTAAACCCTGAAACCCTAAACCCTATAAACCCTAAAACCCTAAACCCTATAAACCCTAAACCGCTCAGATTGCAGGGCTTCAGGGGTCTCCTCATCGGGGCTTTTCGTAGAAAACCCGACCAGACCTCGGGGGCCTCCCGGGTCGCTTGCATCTTTGAGGGCTTTAGGAGTGCAATCTGAAGACCGCAGCCGAAGGTTGTCCCAAGGTGGTGGAGTGTGACGACTCTTCTGAGACAGCCAGGTGGGCAAGCAAGAGGAATTGCGCAGTGCGTAGTGTTTCCACCTCAATCTGCGTAGCAACCTACATGTTCCTCGCTCCAGACTTCAAGCCAACCCTCCCAAGGCCTGTAAAGCCGTCAATTCCACGAAAGGACCCCTAAAGAAGATGTCGCAGCGAGACATGGATTTCCCCAGCTATCCCAGCGTTTCCCATAGTTCGGGCCTTCAGCTTCGCTTGATCTCCGTAGAGCTCTCGGAAACGTTGGGCGTTCCTTCGCAGCCATGGGCTGAGGTCTCAGAAAGGCTGTCATAGGACACATAGTAGTTCCTTTTTGTGGCTTAGATTTAGGATCCTATTAGGTAATCCCAAAAACGAACTACTNNTACTATGGGGCCTATGGGTAGACATTCGGACAAGCACACCCATCAAGGAGGGAGCTTGACTAGTTAGAAAGATAGCTGTGAGAAGGGGGATGGCTCCAAAATCGAGAACATCTGTTTCGCTGTATCATTGTATCGTTCTTGCAGCACGCGTAGCTGCAGCTGCATTCAGACTCAGCCCCAAAGCCTTCATCCTGTACCCTCAGCCCGAGACACTCAACTAGACGGAGCTTCCAGACCAAGGGCCCCAAAATCCGAAACCCCTAAACCC